TGTAATTACATTGGTATTTTAAATTATTTTTTGGCAATTATCAATGTTTTTTGGCCCACTGAAATATTCACAGCAAGTGATGTGGGGGCTGGAGGGGAGACTTGACTATACACAGGAGCCTGGGTACTCCACAGTAAACTGGTCCTGAATTCTGCAGCAAGAACCCCCGGCTTCCTGCTGCTCCTGACGGGCATGTCATATCCTGAGAGTGCTGCATTTGCAGTAGGTGGTAATGTATTGTGGATGTGCTGAAACAGCTCTACAAATAGTACACACATATGCAAGTAATCTACATGCAGTGCAAGGTGTGGATATGGCTGCCAGCCCACACAACAATCTTGTTCTTACAATCCCATTTCAAAAACTCTATGGGTGTTCTGCCTGGAAGAAAGCAGAACTGGGTTATTTGCTACAAGGAAATTAACAAGCTAACTCTGTGCCTGAGGTCTAGCATGTCTCCCACACCAGTCAGCTGTGAATTAGGACAGCTGCAGCAGTGGACAGTTGTGGTCAGCATTAATACAAGTAGCTGTGGAGTATCTAAGCTGCCCACCCACCAGCATGTGACTATCTATATACAGAGTACATGTCAGATACATTAATGCTTTGGGTACATATTAACAACAGTAAGATCCTTGTTGGGCATCAGGCCAAGAGTCCAACTCCGCTGTCCTGTTGTCTGAGCTTATTCATTTTATTACACTTTGGTTTTGTCTAGTTGTGCAGCTAAGGCAAGTGCTGATCGGGGTGTATTTCCTAGTATCACTGTGACTGCAGTGTACGGGTGATCTGTGATAAATCAGGACAAACAAAATAAAGCCCCATATAAAGTACTGCCATGCCAAAACAAACCAATAAAATATACCTATTTGCAAGAGTGGCACTTCTTTCCAGCCAGCATTTTCATTTCTGTATGAATCCAAGGGTAAAGTGGAGCTTTACCCCTGGATTCTTATAGGGCTAAAGCTCAAAAAAAGCGTCAAAAAGGGCCCAAATATCTTTCAACAACATTATTTGAGAAATAAATACTCCAGAAGCCTCATTCTTGCAGCTCTTACCAACGTTTTCTGTAATGCTGGCCTATTTCCACATGATCTAACCCTTCCACCACAAAACTAAGCCCCAAAGTTGCACGGTAGAACATCTTATTCTGTGTACTAGTGGCTGAAAGCCTGTCCTGTCTCCCCAGTATAATTAGTGAAGTCATACGTATAAAAAAAGCTGCAAACATGAATGATGTTTGCCACAACCAGCACACACAATAATCCCATTGTGTGGGTGTGGGTGTTAATTTGTGTGGGGGTTGTATTGTTTTGGGAGAATTGTGTTGATTTGTGCGGATGGCAGTTGGACCAAGTAAACCACCATCTGTGCAGTCTTCCTCATACAATCAATGAAATTGTTCCATGCAAACTAACTGCAGAGTAAGGGTGGTGATTGGTTGAGCTACCTCTGATCTCACAATGGTCTGACTCTTGGCATGGCATAGCTCCATGCCTTACTGTAGCTGTACACTGCACAGGTATAATTCATAAAGTCAAAATGGCTGAAACCTTAAAAAGTGGACAATAGCAGACAAGGAATCCCAGTGATGATTGAACCTGGTGGTATTCTGAACAGAGCTCTGAACCACACTTGCAGCGGTTTCCATCATTTCACAGTGACTCAACAGACATTTCAGGTGTGTTGGGTTTGTTTGCAGGGAGGGGAGGAGAGAAGTGTATAAACTGGTTTATTCAATATCTAACAAAAAGTTTACATAATTTTTTAAGGCCACCTCCACTATGTTGTTGTTATGCTGCATGTCCCCATCAAATGTCATTCGCGTAAAGCAAAATATAATTTGGAAACATTCAGCTTCATTATTTAACTGGTCATGGGGGCAGGTTGCTCTCAGTGGTGGAGGGTCCTTGACATTGGAGACCATATCTGCCTTTGGTGTTGTCAGGGTTCCTTCCTCACTCTGAACTCTGGGGTACAGATGTGGGGACCCGCATGAAAGACCCCCTAAGCTTATTTTTACTAGCTTAGGTTAAAAACTTCCCAAGGCACAAATTCCTTTCTAGCCTTAGTATTGCTGCCACCACCAAGTGATTTAAACAAACATTTAGGGAGGGCCACTTGGAGCCCTACCTTCCCCAAATATCCCCTAAGCCCCTATACCCCCTTTCCTGGGGAGGCTTGAGAATAATATCCTCACCAATTGGTACAGGTGAACACAGACCCAAACCCTTGGATCTTAAGAACAATGAAAAATCAATCAGGTTCTTAAAAGAAGAATTTTAATTAAAGAAAAGGTAAAAGAATCATCTCTGTAAAATCAGGATGGTAAGTACTTTACAGAATAACAAAAGACTAAGAACACAGAAGATTTCCCCTCTAGGCAAAACCTTAAAGTTATAAAAACAGGGATACACCTCCCTCTTAGCACAGGAAAAATTCACAAGCTAAAACAAAACGTAATCTAACGCATTTCTTTTCTGCTATTACTTACTATTTCTGCAAGACCAGATGCTTAGTTCAGATAGACTTAAAAAGATGTAATTTCCCCACCTGGTTTCTTGGCTGTCTCCGAGAGAGACAGACCAAAACCTTCCCCCACAGATTTGAAAGTATCTTCTCCCCTTATTGGTCCTTTTGGTCAGGTGTCACCCAGGTTATCTGAGCTTCTTAACCCTTTACAGGTAAAAGAGGAATTAACCCTTTACAGAGTAAAGAGGGATTTTATGCTACCCTTAGCTGTATGTTTCTGACAGGTGTATTAAAACCTGTATGTTAACCTTTAGGACAAAGTGAAAGTAGTGCTTTTCTTCTCTCAGCTCTCTTGACAAAGGGAGTACGTATTTGAGTTGTGTTGTATTTAATGGAAGTTGCTTGTCTGTTTTTACAATGTGTTGTTATAAAAACCTGCTAATGTGACCAGGTGGACTGGTCAAATTTTTTCTAACAAAACTATTTTGTGGCTAAATAGTCTTATTTTTCTTTATTAAACAAACAAACAAATTTAAAAAAAATGGAAAACAACTTTGGGGGTATTTTGGGGTCATGGTGGAGGGAGGGGGTTGTGATTTTTTTTTCTGTTCTGTGTAGGTTTTTATACTGCACTTATTGCTGTAGTATCTGAGCGTCTTCCAGTAGTGCATTAAGCAGTGTGATTACACATCTGTCATGTTGTTTGTTCTCTCATGTGCTCCCCAGAGGGAGAAGCGTGTGTGATGGAGTGTCTTGTTTTGGCAGGGGGGTGGTGTTGTTAAATGTACCTGTTGCTATGTGTTTATATTAGAGAAGGTGAGTGGTGAGGTTGTGATGATGCTTAGTTCCTGGGAGAGTTCATCCCATGATCTGAGATCACTCCTAGAGAAGGTTCTGTTTCCTGCACAGAAAAGCTTTACTCTTGTTGTTGAGAGTTCCATTGTACCAGAAGAGAGTAATTGTCCGTTACGGCCGGCAGTCTTTTAGATATCCCAAGCCCACACCAGGACGCTTTGAAGATAAGGACTGAGACCTTGAACTTGATCAGAAATTCTCTGGGAAGCCAGCGTAGAGAGCAGAGGACAGGTCTGGTGTGCTCTCAGTCACCTGTGTAACTGAGGATGTGCACTGCAGCTTTTTGTGCTAATTGAAGTTTCCTAAGGGCTGAAGGTATATTGCATTGCTGAAGTCTAGACAAGAGGTGGGGTTTTTTTGGTGATTTTTATCAATTTTATTCCCAATGTTATCAAAATTATTATCAACATTGGTTTTCTGAAAACTGAGTTTAGATAAAAACAATTTTTGATTTTTTTCAAAAAGTCTTTCAAAAACAGAAACAACTTTGAAATTATGAAATCTTTCGTGAATTATTTTTTTATAATTTTTTTTACCAGATTGTGTTTCATGTCAAGAATCCTTTGTACTGTGAGTATTTTGTAAATCAAGAAAGAAACATAAAAGACAGCAAACAATTGCATGTTAACTATTATCTTTTGTCCTGAAGGTTGCTTTATCTCAAAGAAAGCACTCTCTTTCCCCTAACATGCACTGGGCCACACAAAAATAGTATTGGCACTTTGTCTTTAAAATACAGTATAAACAATTACTAATACTGCAGCACCCACATGAGATAGATTAGCAAGTATTATTGGACATTGATCATCTTAGTGCCAGGTGCATCAACTGACAGCACCAAAGATGTCACACCTTCTCTGTCTTCTGTCACAATGCAAAAAACACAGAGGTGTAAAACTGCGTGTTTGTATTTTTTCTCTTCTCCTCTGACTTAACTATAAATCTACAAAACTAAATTGTCAAAGATGGCCACTATCTTACCTCTGCTTCTGCTCAAAAATGAAGTTCTCATGATCCCATAGGGCTTTGTGAAATACCTTTTTCTCTCCTTTCATCCCAGCTATTGAGTAAAAGCCAGGTCACCTATTTCTTGCCAAAAAATGTGATTTTAGTGGTACCCCCCCCTTTTGCCCAGTAGCCAGAGCACTCACCTAGGATGTGGGAGACTGAGGTTCTCCTAGTCTCATATGGAGCAGGGATTTGAACCCAGGTCACCTATCTCCCAGGAGACTACCCTAACTATTGGGCTATGGGATATTTTCAGGCAGGGCTCTCTAAATCTGTTCTGCTGAAGCTTTTCCACTTTTTAAAAAATAATTATTATTATTAGGCTAGAAAGTGTGTGACTCCATAGCCTGATGATCAGGGCACTTACCTGGATATTCATTGGAGTAGGGACATGAATCCAGATGTTCCACCTTCCCTACCCAAAATCTGGAACCACTTTTGAAATTTTGGCCTTCATGCCCAAAGCCATTCTGTACTCCAATTTGTAACTAATGAAGTCATTACATCTAGTGCCACAAAACCAACGTTTCTCATTTGTTTTCGGTCTCTTAAAATGTATCACTACTCTGCAATTCCGATATCAACAGTAGTTAATGATTTATAATGTTAAAAGTAGTTTTCTTGTCAATGAAAAGTATTTTCTTTTGTCGTCTTTCTCCCAATAGAAAACCATTTCATCTCCAACTGTATCACGACTTACAGACACGTCAAAATTCACTGGTTCCCACAAAGAGAGGTTTGATCCAAGTGGGAAAGGAAGAGGCAAAGCAGGACGAGAAGACCTGGTTGACGCGTCGGGCTATGTGCCTGGGTACAAGCACGCAGGCACATATGATCATAAAGTACAAGGAAGCAAGTAAGCCTGGGGAGTTTAAAAAGAGAGAGAATATACCTGTAAGAATGATGTAGATGAATCCCATATGTTTCAGTTATCGTGAATACGAAGACTATGTTGGCGAGAAGTGTTTTCAGGAACTGGAACTGATTTCAACATCTGCTGAGATACTTGCAGCACAGCAACACTTCATTACATTCCTCATGCTTACATTGGCAAAAATATAAAATACAAAGTTGTTGAGCTTTAGACAAGAAACCAAATGCAAGGGCTGTTCTACCACACTTTGTCAATACTGGTAAAAGATCTCAAACATTCCTAAACGTCTAGTTCTTTCTTGGGTATAGAAGAAAACCGCTCTCCAGATAGTTGAAAAGAGGGTCATTGTAAATCTTCCTGTGATAGCAGCCTTTCCGAAGAGCACCCCAATATTTATGTAGTGTGATTTGAATACTTATTTATTTGAAAGATGTCTTAAAGAGGATCCAGCTCTGCCCTCAAAGACAAAAATTCAGTATTGTACTAGTGGGAAGTAAATGGCTGTAATATAACAGGTTGCTATCCTGAAAAGAAATAGATTTTCCTACACCATTTGTGAACAACAAAGGACTTATTCCTCCTTGCTGAGCCTATTTAGGTTCCAATTTATTTGTCAGCAGAAAGATGTGGAAGATACTAGCCCTCGTTTCCTTACCCCCCAAAACCCAGGACTTCTCAAAACCAATACTGTACTTCCTGAAGTTACCGCGTATATTGGTAGCATGGTTCTAACTGAAACTACAGGACATAAAAGGCACTAATATACTAACATGATATATAGAGGAACTAGATATATTGCTAAGGAAGTCTTGATGGAAATATTAATCTTGGTTGCAATCTGTTTTTTGGTTTGCACAGTGAAAATGAAGGGGGCATTAAGATGATGGATTATACTTTTTAAACTTTATGTTAAGTGTGAACTAAACACCACTGATCAGATTTTCATTGAGCTAGGCACGAAGTCTCATGCACATGTACACACATACACAGGCACCTGCTCCTTTTAAGTTCTGACTGAATTAAGGAAGGTCTGTGACAACTCTGAAATACATAAGTTCATGTAAGGACAACTAAATTATCACCACAAAATAGTAATTTGTTAGTCCTTTATTCACAATTAGGTGCATCTCACCCCCTCTAAAGATATATTACTAAAGTTAGCTAACTGATTTGTTAAGTGTTCTATGTTTGAAGCTAGGGGCTCTATTCTCCTCTTATTTGGACTGTCCAGTGTAAGTCAGGAATAATTCTTTGAAGGCAATAAATTTTCACTGGTTTAGAGCTGCTGTAAGAGGAGAATCAGGACCACAGTCTTACTGATCTAACTAACTGGCCACTAAGTATCCCATATATGGCCCACATAACAAGTGGTATTAATTGATAAATCATTGAAGAACCTCACTCATTTGATATTGCTTAAAAAGTAAGGAGAAATATCCATACAGAAAAAGTGCAGGGGCTCATTCGCTGATCTCTATATTCTACATGTGATTACTGATATTCCACAAAGCAGAATAAGCACCACAATGTATAATATAAGATGATAAAGGAGGACTTTTAGTTGGGTATTTGATAACCGTTTAAAATTCTGCTTTGCTTTCTATTAAAAGGAGTCCAAGCATTAACTTTGTAACTCCAGATAGTACAGGTTAATCACCTCTGTTGCCTCTCTGCCACCATCTGTGTCAGGGTTCTAATGTATACAGAACAGCTAGCTTTAGTGAGCTACTTACATACAGTAAGCAGTAACATATGCTAGTTTTTCATGCAGGCCAACATCCTGTATTTGGCACATGTCCAGACACTGAACACAGATTCTCAGCCTTTGAACAGATTGTCTTTTGTTTTCTGCTGACTTTCTATAGAAGCCTTTTCTGTAATTTTGCCACCACTGACCTTTCAAACCAACACATGAACGTGAAACCAAAATAATAATAAACAAAAGGAAGAACTCCTGCATGGGCTTGGAATTTTTTGTTTGATTATAATTTGTTTTGATTTTTGGTTTTCAGGAGAGAGGGAAGTCTGCCCCACCCAGTGCATGCTTTTAAAAGGTCTTGTATGTGTTTTCCCCCCCCTTTTAGCCCTCCTTGGTGGCTCTGGTTACCTGACACAATTTTAGAGATACACCAGGTCTGTCAGAGTGTGGAAGTATTTGTTTGTGAAGCCTTTCCAAGTGTTTCAAAGTTATCCACTTTTCCTGAACACTCCAGTTCCTGGAAAAGGAAATGTTAGTTATCCATTTACACATCATACTGGCTACCTGCCTTCCCCTTCAAGGAGAGGTAACAGCACAAACCCACTTTCAGATATTTGTTATGGCCAAATTATTCCAGAAAAGCAGTGGAACACAGAGTAACTGGTAAAGTGTAGAGAATACATTCCTTCCTGAAATGTCCCATAAAGCTACAAATCTGGATAGTGCTCAAGGACAGTCATTTTACTACAACAAACAGATGTGTAACAAACCTTGAATTATTTGTAAAACACTATCAAATCTGAATATTGCAAAGTTCACATTAGGGCTGTCGATTAATTGCAGTTAACTCACGTGATTAACTCAAAAAAAGTAATCGTGATTAAAAAAATTAATCGCGATTAATCACACTGTTTAATAAATTTCAGATGGTATTCTATTTAATATTTTTGGATGTTTTTCTACATTTTCAAATACATTCATTTCTATTACAACACAGAATACGAAGGGTACACTGCTCACTTTATATTATTTTTTATTACAAATATTTGCATTGTAAAAATGATAAAATAGTATTTTTTAATTCACTTCATACAAGCACTATAGTGCAATCTCTTTAATCGTGAAAGTGTAACTTACAAATGTAGATTTTTTTTTTCGTTTGGTTACATAACTGCATTCAAAACCAAAACAATGTAAAACTTTAGAGCCTACAAGTCCACTCAGTCCTACTTCTTGTCCAGCCAATCGCTCAGACAAACAAGTTTGTTTACATTTACAGGACATAATGCTGCCTGCTTCTTAGGGTACGTCTTCACTACCCGCCGTATCGGCGGGTAGCAATCGATTTATCCGGGATCGATATATCGCGTCTTAACGAGACGCGATATATCGATCCCTGAACGCGCTCATCGTCAACTCCGGAACTCCACCAGAGCGAGCGGCGGTAGCACAGTCGACGGGGGAGCTGCGGCCGTTGATCCCGCGCCGTGTGGACCCCAGGTAATTCGATCCAAGATACTTCGACTTCAGCTACGCTATTCACGTAGCTGAAGTTGCGTATCTTGGATCGATTTCCCCCCCCCCCCCCAGTGTAGACCAGCCCTTATTTACAATGTCACCTGAAAGTGAGAACAGGCATTCGCATGTCACTTTTGTAGCCGGCATTGCAAGGTATTTACGTGCCAGATATGCTAAACATTCGGATGCCCTGTCATGCTTTGGCCACCATTCCAGAGGACATGCTTCCATGCTGATGATGCTTCTTTTAAAAACAAAAAAAAACAAACAAAAAAAAGCATTAATTAAATTTGTGACTGAACTCCTTGGGGGAGAATTGTATGTCTCCTGTTCTGTTTTACCTGCATTCTGCCATATATTTCATGTTATAGCTGTCTCGGACAATGACCCAGCACATGTTCATTTTAAGAACACTTTCACAGCAGATTTGACAAAATGCAAAGAAGGTACTAATGTGAGATGTCTAAAAATAGCTACAGCACTAGACTCAAGATTTAAGAATCTGAAATGCCATCCAAAATCTGAGAGGGACGAGGTGTGGAGCATGCTTTCAGAAGTCTTAAAAGAGCAACACTCAGATGCGGAAACTACAGAACCCGAACCACCAAAAAAGAAAATCAACCTTCTGCTGATGGCATCTGACTCAGATGATGAAAATGAACATGCGTCGATCCGCTCTGGTTTGGATTTTTGTCAAGCAAAGAACCCATCATCGGCATCGATGTATGTCCTCTGGAATGGTGGTTGAAGAATGAAGGGACATATGAATCTTTAGCGCATCTGGCATATAAATATCTTGTGACGCCGGCTACAACAGTGCCATGTGAATGTCTGTTCTCACTTTCAGGTGACACTGAAAACAAGAAGCGGGCAGCATTATCCTCCAGCAAAAGTAAACAAATTTGTTTGTCTGAGCAATTGGCTGAAGTAGAACTGAGTGGACGTGTAGGATCTAAAGTTTTACATTGTTTTATTTTTGAATGCAGTTATTTTTTGTACATAATTCTACATTTGTAAGTTCAACTTTCAGGATAGAGATTGCACTACAGTACTTGTATGAGGTGAATTGAAAAATACTATTTCTTTTGTTTTTTACAGTGCAAATATTTATAATAAAAAATAAATATAACATGAGCACTGTACACTTTGTATTCTGTGTTGTAATAGAAATCAATATATTTGAAAATGTAGAAAACATCCATAAATTATTTAAATAAATGGTATTCTATTATTAACAGTGCGATTAATCACGATTAATTTTTTTAATCACGTGATTTATTGTGATTTTTTTAATCACTTGACAGCCCTAGTTCATACGGCCGTTGAGAGCCTGACCTGAAGTCAATGGGATTTGCATCAAGCCCAAATTGAAGGCCAAGTCCTGCAAGTTGCTGAGCCCCATCAACTCCTGTTGACTTCACTGTTCATCACTAGGAAGCTGCCTCAGCTAGTGTGACAGGCTGTACCCACTCCTGCAGTGCGAGATGTAGGAGCTATCACATCTTTGAAGTGCTGCTGATCCCACAGAGTGTCAAGGCTTCAAAGAGTGCTGCTGTGCTCTACTGCTACACAAGTGTGGCAGGGCACAGAAGTGACGAGATTCAAAGTTGTGGCTCTGGGTGTTTGAGAAGCCTTACAACATAAAGGGACTGACTGTGTACAGGAGTTCCATGTTTGGAGAGTGTGCGGATCCGGACCCTAAGGCTAGTGGGTGCAGGTTGTAGTTAAACTTTCCCAGTTGGGGGTGGTCAGACAATTATTTAATGACAATTGACGTTGCAAGTCAAAAAAGGTAGCTTTGCAACCGTTAAAACACAAATTGTAGAATCATAGAATATCAGGGTTGGAAGGGACCTCAGGAGGTCATCTAGTCCAACCCTCTGCTCAAAGCAGCACCAATCCCAACTAAATCAACATCGTATGTTGTAATAAACAAAGTAAATATCCTTAAATCAAATTCTAGTAAGTTCTCAAGCAGCATTTTTCTTACGTTGCCTATTGATAAATTTTGATGATTATCTATGGAAATATTTTCTGTTGGTTCGTGTGTGCGATGACATGGACGTTTACCAACATATAAAGATAAAAATTGAATCCTTCCAAGCCCACCAGAGTTCCTACCAAAAGAAACATGCTCTAAAAGGACCTTATCCAAAGAGCATAGAAGTCAATGGAAAGTCTCCTATTGACTTCAATAGGCTTTGGATCAGGCCTTAAGAAAATAACACCGACAGCAACATTATAGGTTGACAGAAGCATTTCTATGTTAAATGCGTATTTATTTTAATATTTTTTCAATTGCCAATTTTTAAAAGCCAAATAGAACAGGTGAAGAAAAGTTACTTTAAAATGAGGGTGAAGAGGGGAGATAGTAGGAAAGAAAATCTTTTGTGATGAGTCTTTTCTCTGCTGCTAACTGGAGGTGAGAACACAAAACAGACACTTACTTTCTCAGATTCAGTGTCTACCTAGCCCTTACAAAGGTGCTCAGTGTGGGAAGGATGCAAAGAGCCTGCCCCTTGTGTAGCCTGCATGTGGGCCAGGCACAGTTGCAGCCCCTGCACTTGGAGAGCAGGGTGTGTGGAGGATAACAGCCATATGTGTAGGAGGCAGCAGGCTGCACCCCATTAAGCAGTGTAGTAGTAGGTATGCTTCTATTGTACATCATTACTCTAGGCAGGGTAAATGGCATGGTCCCGTGTCAGGATTTGTGTACATTGCAGGTTTTCTGCTTGTGATCTTTTTCCATGCATCTAAGTCCGTTCCATCTCACTGGGCATTCACGTCAGTCTGATTTGAAGCACCCAATGCTTCTCAGTTCACACACACACACAAAAGTCACTGTACAAATCTTGCAGTCCTCATCTTTTGTTTTCATTTATAATTTGATTTTGCATCCTTTGAAGTTCATAGTATTGAAACATGACAAGATACTTCAAATGTGATATGGCAGATATCAAAATCTATATTTTAAAAACAAACACAATTTAAAAATAAATTGCATTCATGGGCATAGTTTGCATCTCTCCCCCCCCGCAAAAAACTGCAAGCCTGGGGCAGGCACTGTGGGCCTGATTGGAGCTGCCCTCTTCCCCCCAAAATATAGAAGTCATACTATGCCTACGATTCCATTAACACTAAGGCAGGGCCCAGTCCTGCAAAGCCTTACACATATGCTTAACTTTACGCCCTGTGTGCAAAGTTAAGCACATGCATTGTTAGTCTTTTCAGGATCAGGGCCCAAGAAATTAAAGTGCTGACTGCGGGAAACAAATGGATTTTTAAAAAGTGAAGTTACACAAAAATCAGATTTGATTCTTGCTTTAGTGCTAGTTTAATAAATGATTTTGAGTACATGATGTGCTTTAATGTTTAGTCAGCGTAGTTCTCTCACGCTTTAGGATTTCTTCCCTGTAATCTCATTTATATAAAGCAGTCAGTAATGAAAGTTTTTGTCCTTTTATTTATGGCCATGGAAGCTGTAACAGCCTTACGATATCACATGCATTTAAAAGGGCAATTTTGCTTTAACAACTCTTCTGCATGAGCAATTACATGATGAATTGTAATCAAATATTTTTATGAGTCCAGATTAAGTAAATATTTTACACAGGGAGACTGGCCAGGGTAAAGCCACCAGATTTATATTTGCAGTTCACCAAAATTTCCTAACTGTGTGGCTTCAGTAAGAGATTTATTGTTAGTTTTCTGTTTGGTATCTTTAAACTCAAAAGCCTCTTAATAGTTTTCAGCAGTTTAGGGATTCCCATCCAAAGATCTTTTTGGCTAAAGCACAGCACCAGTGCATTTTATTGACTCTGTGTGGACAAGAAAACATGCTGGAGTTATAGAAGGCCTGAACCCTGAATAAATATTTTGAACATTGCTTGGTTTTTTCCCTCCAGTAGCTCTATTAATTTTTTTTAATTTACAGCATCTGACATTTCATTTCATGCTTCAGATCTAGAAGTAATTTTTACTGACTTGGTTTGCAGTGCTGGTTGTACCTTCATATGTTTTTTCTAGAGACGCATTATCCTTCCCAAAACATCTTAAAACTAATTTGAAAATCAATTTTTATTTCTTTTAGGCTATTAACTGTTACAAAATAAAGTTTGATTCTTTGTGCCTCGGTGTGCAATGCCGTACTGCTGTTCAAAGCATAACCCTGCCTTATGGTGATGTATGTATGTACTTGTTGGGGGCGTCTATCTGTGTCCTGTTGGTAATCCCAAATAAGTGTTCTCTGCCCTCCATTGGCCAAGAACCATTTTGACCTCATAATAAGGAGAAAATGTAATGTGTTGCATGCATTAGCACATGCCCTCCAAACTATTAGTCTTCAGTGTGTGCCAAAGTAACCACACCTTTTTGTACATTCTATTTGTAGTGCAAACTATAAGTACTTTACTTACCATGCCAATTACTCAGTAGTGAGTAATACTATACACAAGATTTGTACATGTTTTGTAAGCAGGTGTGTACGTGTGTGTACCTACACTGTAGATGTAACTAGTATTTGTGCCATATGGGTGCTGATCCAAAACTTAAAGCTATTGGGGCCAAATCCTGGCCCTCCTACCAAACCGGACCAGAGCTGCGTGGCTTGGCCTGACTGCCACTGCAAAGCCCTCTCCATACAATGGAGGACAGAAATCCCTGTCAGTGCAGCTCTATAGCTCCTGCACAGATGTCTAACCCGTTCCTGGTTCTGGGGGCCCGTGTCCACAACTGTCCCTCACTGGACTACATTGCAGGGCAGCTGCAGAGTAGAGGAGGTAACATCACAGGAGCACTTCCTGATGTTCCACTAGGAAAGGAAACAGCTGTCAGTCAGGGTGAGGACAGTAGGTCATCAGAATGGATGCCCTCACATGCCCCCCGGGCAACATTTTAGAATTATCCATGGCAGGGAGCCCCGATTCATACTCTGAGCTCTTTGGCCTCATGCACTTTTGCACCCCTTTTTTTGTTAAGCAGGTCTGCAGTTACTGTACAGAACACTACACCAGGCCAGCCATCCTCAGCAACAATCATGGGGTGGGGGGGGAGGACTAATAATGTGTCCTTTTACTCCTGTGGAACAGGGCCTGAGGTGTGGGCCCATAATTATTACAAAAGCCCAAAAAGTAACATTCAAAATATGAAACATCAGTGCAGAGATCAAACTCACACTAAACTCATAATAAATGCTACAAGCCACATAATCAAACTGGGTGCCTCAGCTGGACACCTCAATAAATCCCACATTGGCACTTGGTGCCCACATGCCCATTGGAGCACCCAAATATTTGAAAATAGTGCCTAGACTGTTTTCATATTTTTATCCATAAAGCCAGCAAGAGACACTCGACCACCATCACAATCACTTGCTAGATCCCCAAAGCAATGGCAATATAAGAAGGAAGCTCTTGAAACTTTGACTTTCAAACTAGTGATGGGGCAGCCTCCAAAGGTTTGGATGCGCTGCAGACAGAACCTCCATTGCCCAAGAACTGATCATGACATCAGGAGCTGTGGGAATACTGCAAGGACAGCTATTTTTCATAGTTTTCCAATATTTCCTCATCTATATTGCTCTGAAGCCAGAGAGGAGGATTTCAAAACAAGGTAAAAAGACACGTCTAATTTTAGTTTTTGTTAACCTTGAAAAAAAGGATTGGAATTAGTTTGGGTTTTGGATTAGCTCTTATTTCATTCAAACTACCTTCCTCTTTCCTGCTTATGTGGGGTAAGTGGATTTTTGCTATAACACAAAGCAATTTGATTAAAAATAAGGAAAATAGCCGTGAGTACATTTGCTGGATATTGACACATGCATGGTATTATTGAAGTGTTCTAATGCCATTCTGAAATGGCTATTATACTGTACCATCTTTTCTCATGTATACAGATCTATTTGGGCAAGTGTAAACAGTATATAAACAAATGCCAAGATTATCCAAAGTTGCTGTCTAAAGTTAAGCTCCTAAATTCCTATTTACGTATCCAAATAACTGGCCTGATTTTGAAAAGTGCTGATCATCCAGCACTCTCCACTGAAGTCAATCACTCATCGGGTGATGAGTTAATTTTTGAAATATATGTATAAGCATCTGTTAACTTCCTGAATAACTGAAAAGTACATGGCACTTGATGGAAGCCGTTTCCATTGTACTGTTAATTTTTTTCTGAATATATGTTTTAAAGAGACCCGTCACTTAGTGGTTGTTTCAGCCAGTGTTCTTAATAATGCATGCTCAAGATTCAATTACTTTTGATTTTTAGTGCCACATGAATAAAGTTATATTCAAATTAACTAAAAATACAGCCTTGAAAAAATATACTCACGTGCCTCACATAACTCTCCATTTTAATCAGGAGTTATTCTATGGATGGTTTAAAAAAAATGAAGAAAGACAGAAAGGTGATCTACTTCCAGATGATGGTGCATTATTTCAGGTTCCAGTTTACAGTAGATGAATTTGTGTTGGTACTTGCTCAAGTGCTATTTTAAACAAAGTAATTTTAAAAATGTGAAATAGTTCAGCATGGGCTCTGTTAAAGACAGTTCGTGTTAATGGAGCCATCAAATATAGCTTTTTATTTTTCTGTGATAAATTATTCTTACTAACTATACACACATCTTTTATAAAGGCCTTGTGTAAAAGCCTGGACACACACACAAGAACCTAAACCTGTTGACAAAGTACATTCACTAAGCAATGAATTACATGAAGTCACAAAGTCAAAGACAACAACAAATTATAGTGTGTAACATGAGTGTTTTTTCTCTGTGCTGAATTCAGAATATATTAGCCTCAGCAGACAACTCCACTGGGAGGTTTTCCCCCATAATGCCAATAGT